TCCTTGCAGGTGCGGGAGCTGGAAGGGGAGGTTGATGCTGAGCAGAAGCGCAGCGCTGAAGCCGTGAAGGGCGTGCGCAAGTACGAGCGCAGGGTGAAGGAACTCACCTACCAGGTAAGGCAGGAGCTCTCCTGCTCTCACAGGGCTTTCTCACAGTGAGTCACATTTTGCACAATCCATCCCCAAGGGGAATTGTTAACCTCACGTGATCCAGAACCAAGAATTGACTCTCTAATCTGTTTACCAACTGCTTTAGTCTGAGGAAGACAGGAAGAATGTGCTGAGGCTGCAGGATCTGGTGGACAAGCTGCAAATGAAAGTGAAATCTTACAAGAGACAATCTGAGGAGGCTGTAAGTATCTCTCTGAGTGCTTGGCAAGAATCACTTTCCCAGAAGGTAGTTTGGCCATTGAGTAGACAGCTGTAAGAAATTTAGAAGATGCCAATGGAGATGCTCATCAATTTCACATGCTTTCAAATTCTCTGAAAGGCTCACAAAGTAGACTCGCCTTTGAGAATGAAATCAATGAGCCTTTAAGAAGACTTCTGAGGAGGGCAAATGCACATAGCATTTTTTGCATTAGAAGCACAAAACAACCTGTAAGGATTTTTATGAATGATATCAGCAGTACAATACATAAAGAAATTTTGGAAATATTTTATTTTTAGTATTTTTGATAGCAGAAAGGGAAGGTGTTGGCAGTTCCACCCCAAACCACTTTGCATTCTGCTTTTAGAATATTGCAAAGAACCTTTGCTTGTTTCTGGGCATGCAACATTCAGGGATGGACTGAGGATCCTACAGCCCCTGAATTTATGATTGTCTGAGCACGGCTTCTTCTTTGTGGAAACAGTCCTGCACAGAATAGGGCTTCTGAGTTAGTTAAGGGGATATGTGAGAATGACCCTGAGATCTCATCAATCTCATTGTGAGACTTTGTAGAAGCAGTAGTGAGTGGACTTTGGAGGTTTGTGATTTTGCCAGGCCAAGGCCCAGAAGGAATGAAAACCCCAAACTTCTCACTAAAAACTCCTTCTCCCTCTCAGGAGCAGCTGTCCAATGTGAACCTGTCCAAGTTCCGCAAGATCCAGCACGAGCTGGAGGAGGCCGAGGAGCGGGCTGACATTGCAGAGTCACAGGTCAACAAGCTCCGAGCCAAGAGCCGCGAGTTCCATAGGAGGATAGAAGAGGAAGAGTGAGCATGTCACCAGGCAGCAAAGTGACCTGAGGGCTGCACAAAATGTGAACCTCTTGGTCACTTTTCTTCTGCCATGAGCCTTAGTACCCACATCAGTGTCTAGTGAATAAAAATTATAGTAGATTCTTCTGCATACACACTATCATCAGTGGTTTTGTTCTTCTTTGGGTTATGTTCTTCTTTGGGTTTTGTTCTTCTTTGGGTTTTGTCTTCCTCGGGCAATTGCATTGCAGAAGACGTTTCCTTACTTCTCCTCTCTGGGACAAGGGAGAAGCAGGGGTCAGTGCTGGATTGAGGATCTGCAAACTTAGAGACTGGCCACTGCTGAAAAATCCAGCCTGTGCTCTGTCCTGTCTCCAGCAGCTCCTTGTCCAGCTTCTGCCTTCACATCCTCCTAATGCATCTCCCATTGTCCTTTCAGCACAGCTCCTTTCCCATGTGATAATCAAGAGAGGGTGATCCTTTTGCTTTTTCTTTTCCTACTCTTGTTTGTGATGCTGGCCCTCATAAACCCTAAGCACTGGTTTAGGTTTTGTTAGGTTTTGTTTTTCAACAATCTCAACACTGAAGGGAAGTTGAAACTGACCACTCTGATATTTTTTTGTTAAACCCATGACAGCAATATCCCAAGGGCTCTCACCTTACCTGTCTCCCAAGTGCAGCCTCAGCAGCTCTTGCTGGAAAGTCCAGCCTGATTCCAGTGTCACTAAAATGCACTGACGACCAGAACCTGTCAGTATTGTCTATGGAGAGAAATGGGAGATTGTTCTTTAGGAGCAGAACTCAGGTTTCAACCCCAGACCTTCAGAAAGCCACCCAAGGCCCTGCAGAGATGCCAGACTAGTACTTCCTTCTCATGACACTGTACAACTTTTCCCCAGGGCTCCTTGGCAGAATCCTAAACTTTTTCCTCCCTCCTGGCATGAACTTTTGCGTGCCCAACCTCACCTAGAGGCTGCCTGCTCCTCCTGGGAGCAGTCCCACCTGAGGGCATTTCCAAAGCTTCAGGTAGGTCTGCATAGAGTCTAGAGGGCACATAAAATCTGTGAGTATGTCTTGACTGTAATTGCTGGTACAAGCATTAACCTCAGAAACTCAGGGACAGGAGCACGCCCTGAGGCAGGGCCTCCCCTGAGCACAGCTGGGCACTGATGATGGCACTGAGGGCTGGCCCTGCCCCCCAGCAAACTCACAGCTCCCTCTGCCCTCACCTCCTGCACTCCCGGGCCACACAAAACTGCCCCTCAGCCTCCACAAGAGCCATTGCTGGAGGAGGGAACAAGGCCCAAAGGAGCTTTGGAGGAGGCCCATGGCAGGAGGATCGGCCCATCACGTGTCTCCTTTCACGCTCAATGTCAAAGCCCAGAATAGCCCCACTCTCCCAAGGCTCCTGTGCGGGGTCGTGCCTGTTTGTGGGGATGATCTGCTTCCACTAATAGAGCCTGAAGACATTCCTGGGTGGGTAGGCTGCCTTGTGTGTGGCACTGCAACGTGCTGCCCTGGAGGAGCTGGACACGTGTGCTGTGTCCCAAGGCAGCAGCTGCTATTCTTGTCCCAGAGAGACTCAGTGCAGCACAGCTCCATTGTCATATGAAAGATTAAACACCAGAATGGGGCCCGAGCGTGCTCTCCCTGCTCAGAGCCTGAATCCAGAGTGTTCCCTTTTGGAGCCCATGCAAAGGCCCTGTGCCAGCCCAGTGCCAAGGCCATTCCCTGCTGGGATGTGCTGTCCCATGGGCAGCACAGTAGCTGCCCTGGTACTTCCAACAGCCAGCCAGGGCTCCTTGGGATGGATGGGGCTTTGCCTCTCTCATTTTTACCATCAAATGGAAAAGACAGGCTGGGCTGTAGATCTGAAAGTGCAGCATTTCACAGCTGCCATCCTGGAGTTCCTGGGTGAGGATGAAGGCTGAGGCAGGGCCTGCTCTGAGTTTCAGCTGCTATCCATCTCCCTTTGCTCAAGCTGTGCTTTCCCAGCCCTCATGTAGGGCTGTACTCCAGAGTACGGCCTACAGTGTCCCGGGAGTATCAGGGCTGCAGGAGAAGCCCTGGCTGGGCTGGTGCCTCTGATATGATGGGTATGGAGACTCAGCCCTGCCTGCACCTTGACTCCCCTGGCTCTCTGGAGAGCTCAGAAAAGCCGTGTCCCAGCCAGGGACAGTCACCATGGGCAATCAAAGGACACTGGGCCCAGGACACCAGCTGGGATGGTGGCTATGCCATTCCCCTCAGGTCTTGGCTGTTGCTCTGACAGCACAGGTGGCATCGGCTTTCTCCTCAGCTTGGTACTTGTCACCTGACATAAAGTTCCTTTAGGATCCTTGGCAGGAAGCCAACAACATTATTCCTGGTGAGAGGAGCAGGGGGTGCCAGTCCCAGGGCCCCATCAGGCTCCTGTCAGTCACAGGGAGCTCCCGGACAGCGGCTGACCAGGCCTCTGCTCCAGCACCCAATGCCAGGGGATGGCAGCCTGGAGCCATGGAGGGGACCCTGCTCAGGGCCCTGCTCCACTGCAGACCAGCAGGGAGATCTCACTTTCTATGGGTTGGCCTTGGTCAGTAGAGGATCACAGTAACATCACCTATGTTCAGGGAACACTTATGAGTTCAGCAAATGAACATTTGAGAAATTAATCAGTTAAAATTCCTCCATGAGCTGTTAAGTACTCAGACACTGCATTCTGCTCAGGGATTTCATAAATACAAATTACTGGAGGTAGGAGAGTTCTGTACAAGTGCCATTCTATGCTGATGATCCTTCCTGAGCATCACTTTCAAAGACAGGAAGTTGGGCTACACAAACCTTTGATCTCACAAGGACATCTTATTTTAGGTTATGACAGAGTTTACTGCAGAGGTTAATACCATGCTCCTTCATTGTTTCCTTTTCCTTCCCCTTCCTTTCTGCTCTCATAGTTACTCGCTGCTTCAATTACCTCTTCCTGCCTGCCAGGTTGCCCACCCCACTCACCTGCTGTGTAATTAGAGCTCCTCAGCTGCTTGGCAGGGGATAGAAAGGGCATCCCGAGCGTCACCTCCGTGGTTGGGATCTCCTGCCCAGACCTCTTCCGCTGATGTGCCTGTGGAGACAAGAGGAGTGTGAATCGCAGCACACGAGTGGCATGCTCTTGAAACTACCCATCCTCTAATCCCAGATTATGGATTTATTTGCCTCTCATGTTGAGTTATTCAATTTATTTGCCTCTCATGTTCAGCTTAAACTCACTCCAAGACTTCCAAGAATACCACTCTGTGGGAACCTACTTGGAAACAAATTTATAATTAAAACTCCCCCTAGGACAGGTGCATTCTGTTTATTTGACATGTAGTGGATGTAAATCACATTAAGATCTACAAAAGTTAATTTCTGACTAGAGCAGAAGGGACAGCAAGGCCATCACAGCCCCTCCATGGCCAGCCGGTGACATTCAGCTTATCTCCACAGGTTCTCACACTTAGACACAGAAATTTTGAACATTTCTTCACATTTGCCATGGTAGAGAATGGATGGCCTATTCTTTACCTGCAGCTTTTAAGTCTTACCAGTTATGTTCCTCAGTGGTTCTTCCTCAGAAATCATTTATTGCTTCCAGAAATTGCCTCAGCCTATTTCTTAAGCCACATTTATTAGAAATGTTAGTTCAATGGCAAATTTACTAATCAGATGTCGCATCAAAATTACGGACTGAGCATGTTCTCCTCATAACACTGAGCATCTTTCAACATAACATTGAAAGCATGAACCTTAATGGAGCGACACTGAATTGAAAGCCAATCTTTTATATGGAAAATGTGCTCTTACCCTCTCCAGGGTGTCCAGTCATATCCCAGCAGAAGTACGGGGATGAGCAGTGCTGCTGCAGAGCAGTGCTCTGGCATTTCTGCTTGCCTTCTGCTAACATTCCTGGAAGTTCTCATTTTACACAGAGGGCAGCAGAAAAGCTGCTGCAGCAGGGGCTGAGCATTCCCTCTCAGACTGTCCATGACAGGCTGCAGAGAAAACTGACCTCTCTAGGCAGGCCCTACCTTAATGACAGCAGGGCCAGCAGCAAACAAAAAAAAAAATCCTGCAAGGATTTGAGATCCCTTTTTTCTGGCAGTGGGGGGAAATAATGAGCAAGTCAGTCAGAGCAAGTCAGTCAGACTCCTTGCTACACCATTGCTCTTTCTTGAAGAGTTGTAAGTGATTCTAATCTACATGATTTTTGTATCTGCCACTGTCACTATGTCAGCCTCTGCTGTTTTGAGGCAATGGCGATGTTTTTTACCTCAAAAGTGCTGAATGCTGATGCCCTGCTTCTAGAATTCAAATATTGCCAATTATTTTGGAGGTATAATATTCCTTACAGAGTGTAACAAGAAAAAACATTAGACCAGAAAGTGATATTCTAACAGCTAGGTCTCACATTGCCATAAATGTTTTTTAAGGCAGAATCAAGGCACTGAACAACATACCTTTTTTTTTTTTCCCTAGAATATAAGGACACTGATACTAAATACTCATTTCCCAATAGAAGTGAATTTAGGCAATCTATACTGAAACGATATCCTTTTCTTGAAAGATTCCTGCAAATCCTAGCTAATAACTAAGGGGAGGACTTGGCAATGACTGTCACTCAGTATTCTGGGCATAATGCCAAACAGTTTAGCAGACACAGGGAAAATAAAAGAGATGAAGGTGGTGTGTCAGTACCCTAAAGAGACTGCAGAAATAAAAGCAGGAAAAGGAATCAGAACAATTGCTCCTCTGCTTGCCCTGTACTCCCCAAAATGTGATGGAGTCATGAGGTCTCCATTTGGGTTGGAAAAGACCTCTAAAATCATTATGTTTAACCATTACCCCAGCACTACCAAGTCTACCATTAAACCATGTCCCCACACATCTTTTAAATCTCTCCAGGGATGGGGAGTCCAGCACTGCCCTGGGCAGTCTGTTCCAGGGCTTGACAACCCTTCCAGAGAAGAAGGAGGTGGACTTCCTTAAACATGATGTCACTTCACTCCCTGGAGGAGGACTCAGCAAAGCCAACTACCTGCCCTCTCCAGGGCACCCTGAGCTCTGCCCAGTTATAAAAAGAATTCTTTTATCAGGAAGGAAACACCACAGTAATTATATTTCACTCTGCAACAGAATTGGATTTTTTTAAGTTACAGGAGAAAATAAACAATCACCCCAAAGAAAATGAAATGGAGAATGTTTTAATAATTTTGCTAATGGGAGGAATGAAATAAAGTTTTACAAGGAGGAAGCACATGGTGAAGAGCCTTGGTGTCTTACCCAGAGAGCAGCTTGTTGTGTGATAAATTTGGAGTTGTTGGAGGGGGAGAATGTGTCTCTATCCCCATTCCAAAACATGCTAAAATTTCCAGGAAGAGTGGGATGCAGTGGGCTTCCAACCAATTCATGAAACCAGAACAGGTGCCCTATTGGGTTTCTCCCATTTTATTGTTGCTTACTGTAAAGTTTAAGGACTGAGACCAAGAAAGCAAAATATTGGTGCTGCCCTCAAAAAGTGAGTTGAGGGAGGGGTGCTGAATTCATTTGTCAATTAAAGCCATCAGCCTTGCTGCACTGTAGTTCTCTTGGTTTCCCCATAAGCCCTATTAATGCCATGGTATTTCATTGGTCACCTGGCAGTCCTGTGATATATTAATGGATTCTTAAGCAGGAGCTTTCACTCTGTTTGGAAGCTTCACAAGTTCATCTATGAGTTCCCCATGATTTTTGGACATCTGTATTTGAGGACTGAGAAGGAAAGAAATCTGCCATGAGACTACTAACCTAATGAGAAGGGTCTAAAATCAGCTTCATTATGGGAAGAACACTTAAGCTGAGAAATAACAAGGGAATAGCTGCAAATGTAGGGATTTTAAAAGGAAGAAGGGGAATGTGATCAGAATTATGGAGGTAATACAAGACAGTGTGGATCACAGCAGCATAATCATGGGACAGTATGGACTGTGTAGGAAGAATACATAGGGGAAATGAGAAGGTTTTGTGCTTTATGTCAAAGTGCTCCTCTCTTGTGCAGTGCTCCACTGTGGGGCTGCAGACATCCTGTTAGAAACAGGAGGAAAATGAGGGATGTTGTGATAGATTCTGTTATGGGCCACCTTAAAGAGACAAAGTAGTGAAGGGATTTCCACAACTAGTAGAAACTCAAGTCTCCTCTGCCTTAGGGAGGTTTTCAGCCATGTGGGCATCTGCTGTGAGGGCAACAGCATCAGGCAAGCTCTGACAGAAATTCTTGGGCAGTGCTGATGTCAATAGCCCAACATGAATTCTGGACAGGCAAAACTGAATATTGGAAGCAGGGATGAACTTGTAATAAATATGATCCCAGATGGCACCTCAGACTGCAGCAAATACATGACTGGATGAAGGATCCAGCAGAAAGCTGGGGAGATAAGCAACTAGAGAATTAGCACTCTAGACTTTGTAAGATTGGAATTCTTTGCATTCCAGGAACTGCTAGTTAGCACACACTCTGCAGCACCTGTGGAAGAGAAGAGTGCTCAAGAGAGATGTGCTTTAGAAACACAATCATATTGACTTCTGGAGGCTATTTTAACCCTTCATAGGATGCTACATTACATGTATTGTCCTAGATAATTTCTAAAAAAGCTTTATTTTCAGCTATGTCCACAGCTGTATTTAAACCAGCTAAGTCAACACTGCTTTTCTTTCATACCCTTCTTAGTGATTTCTACAAACACTCACTGGCAATGAGTACTAGAACCCAAAATAACATCTGCCCATAATGTATGGAGCAGTTGTAGTCTCCTATGGGTGTTATATGAGTTGCTTGAGCAGTGTGGTAGCCCCTTCTTTATTTAAAGTAGGTATTTCTGTCCTGAAAGGACAGCTGCTGAGAAATAAGGAGATACTTGGGGAAGAGCCTGAAGCAGGAAACTTGAGGAACCTGAATTCCCTGAACAGCATGAGCATGGAGAAATTTAAACACAGGACTTCAGTGCTGGACATGGCAAGAGCTGGAAGGAATTCAGCTTCCCAGTTTTCATCTTAGTAGATTTTTCTTGATCTTTGCAGCAAGCAATAGAGCAAACCTTGCCATCAAACTTTGTTGTACTTTTGCAAATTTATATTGAACACTCTTGCACTAATGCCTTTGATGGTGATACTTTAAGCAACCTTAACTCATTTGCAACATTTGATTCCTCAACAGTCAGCTCAGGAATCTATTCAAGAGCTCCATATCAAAGTAGAGTCTCCCATTACTTGGGATCAGGCTCCCAACTCACTTTTTTTCAAATAATTTAAGCTATTGAGAGTGTCATATACAGAAAACTCAGCTGCAATAGAATTTTACTTCCTGCTTTTTAGAAAATACCACTGAAAAGTGGTTCCCAACATTATTTGCTAGTTTTTGACATATTTTCCCCTCTCCTCTCAATGCATATGTTCCTAAAGCATCATAGGCTTTGTCATCACCATTACATGACTGAAAAGTTGTGGTATAAACATACCAAGGAAACTACCATGGGTCAAGGAGCAAATCACTGAGAAAGGCAGCAATAGAACCATGCAAGTTCTCTAAGTGCCTTGAGTAGTCCAGATTCTCTCCTTAACACTCTTGACAAATTATTTATAGATGTATTCACGTAGTCAGTAAGATATAAAAATGTTCTAATTATATCATTCAAATCAAGTGACAATTATGCCCTTAGTTTGACAGACAATGCTTGGCCAAAAAAGGTTTGCCAGAAATGTTTTGACCGAAGAAAGGGGGACCATCTGCATCATCTGCAGGCGAGACACTATAAAATCTTCCAGAGACAAGCCTAGCCTGTCTCTGCAGAAGGCTTCCAGGTAAGTGCATGCATTTCATGAGCTTGAAGAAAGAGGATTACATCCTTGCAATATCCTGTTTCATTTCTTCTGTCTCTAACAACCCTTTCCATGAGGGAGTGCCCATGTGAACAAAAATTTTCAGTGTAATTTTGATGCATGCCTGTATTTTCAATCTACAGCATGTTATGGAATTCTGTTCAGAAATAAGAAACAACTGCCATTCCTATTTTACAGGGTTGGCCATATTCCAGGATACAAGCTGTTACCCAAAGGTAATACACTGAATAATTCATTCCTAATCTATATTCTATGACAGAACTTTTAAAGAGCTGCACAAATTCTCTTCATAAATCCTCTTATATTCCAGCTGAATTTGCTTAGGCTCGATAGTTGGAAATAAGGAGGATGTAAAAATGGAAGTAATTTTTTATATTTAATAGAAAAGGTAATCCTTTCAGCAAGAAAGTACTCTCTTGAAGACTCATGGTTGATAATTAAGGACCCGAACAGAGAGTGATTTTTCTATTACTAGATTCTTTTATGAGAAAAACTCAAACCTTGTCTGAATTCAGGGTGACTTACCAAACTGCACTCAATACTCAGATGGCCTGTTTGCTGTTACAAGATCTACATGTTGTAGAAGTCTAAGTCTTATTCTTGAGTTCAGACTATGGTACTTTTAACTTCAAATCAAAGTGGATTTAATTGGTGTCTTCCTAAGAGTTTATTTAGGAATTTATTTGCTAAAGAGCAAGGAGCAAGGAGCTTTCTCATTGGTATTAATTGTATTATTCTTCTTGATGACCAATAACATTTTGCTCTTCACAAGGCATCTCTGCTGACAAGCTTTCATTAGAGGAGAGTCATGGCCTCTGGCGATGCTGAGATGGCTGTTTTTGGGGAGGCAGCTCCTTACCTCCGAAAATCGGAGAAGGAGAGAATTGCAGCCCAGAACAAACCTTTTGATGCCAAGTCATCAGTCTTCGTGGCTCATCCCAAAGAATCCTTTGTGAAAGGGACAATCCCGAGCAGGGAATCGGGAAAAGTCACTGTCAAGACTGAAGGGGGAGAGGTGAGTCAAAAATAAGAGTGAAGGACAAAATTTGATCCCCACTTTCAGATTTTAGGCGATACATGTGGATCTTTTGTTTTCTTGGCAGACCCTGACTGTGAAGGAAGACCAAGTCTTCTCCATGAACCCTCCCAAGTATGACAAAATCGAGGACATGGCCATGATGACCCACCTGCACGAACCCGCTGTGCTGTACAACCTCAAAGAGCGTTACGCAGCCTGGATGATCTACGTAAGTGGCAGCAGCAGCTTCCTCTGGGCAGCCTCAGGAGCTGCTGGGCCAGGCTCAGGGCAAGGCAACGTGCTGTGTCCCTTCCTTGCAGACCTACTCGGGTCTCTTCTGCGTCACTGTCAACCCCTACAAGTGGCTGCCGGTGTACAACCCCGAGGTGGTGTTGGCCTACCGAGGCAAGAAGCGCCAGGAGGCCCCTCCACACATCTTCTCCATCTCTGACAACGCCTATCAGTCCATGCTGACTGGTGAGTGCTTGATTTCCTTTGAGCTGCTCTTGAAGTTGTGTATCTGTACAGGGAAATACAGAAATTTGGTGGAAATACAGAAATTGGCTGGAAATATGGTGCCACACTTTAAAAAAAAATTGTGTGTGTGAAATTAATGGAAGATTAGTGTACTTAAATCTAATGGTCTGTGAGAGCTGAGTGTCAGTGCTCTCATTAGAATCATAAGGACCTGGATATAACCTAGAGGGTGTAAATTCACTGGAAAGAAATCATGTATTTCATTGTGTATACCTTATGCCTATGATGGAATCTTACATATATGGATGGACTTGTGTATGTTAATCATTAAATTAGTCTCAGATGGAGAGTACAGGGTGCGGTTAAATGACACATATCCTATAAATGATGTACATAATACAAATTTAAATCTTCAAGCATCAGTGCTGACAAATAAAACAGAGAGCTCTACCTTAAAGAGGTATGTAAGCCTCACCTGAGGCACTTAATATGCAAATGGGTTTCATTACGTAGATGATGGCCATGTGATGTAAATTACATACAGCCTTTAATGATCTCTGGAACTCGTGCACTAGTCTGTAGTTGCATCTATAAATCAATTGCATTGTAGAATGAAAAGTAAGCTTCGTAAAACAATATCAAGGAAAAAATAAAGCTTTTAGCATTTAAATTGAGCGACTTAAAAAAATTTCTTGCCACTTTTCCCTCTTCCTTTTATCTCTTATTTTCTCTTCCTTATACATGCGATAAAATAAAAGGTGTGCAGGATTTTAGAACTTCTTCTCCTGTTCTTTTCTTAGACTCTGGGAAATGCATACAGAATAGAAAAAATAAAAAATGAATGTTGTTGATGTATAATCTCAAGAATGCATAATTTCTGTATATATAGGGATTAAAAAAATAGAGGTGAAAAGGATGAAAGATGTTGGTCAAATGTTCTGTAATTAATGATGCCTTAAGATTTTGATAAAATTATTCTAGAGACTTTTAGCTTCAGAAGAATTTACATACAAAACAATTGCAACATCAATATTTTCATAACCTGTACTTGCCTGTTAAAAAAGAAATAAGTAACTTGATGGAAAGACAATGTCAGGAAAGGCATAAGACTACTGAAGTTTCTCTGCAGTGATTCCTTTATATAGAACCAGTTGCTAAGAGCTGCACTACTGCTGACCACATCAAAAGTACCCACTAGAATTCCCTGGGCACTTTTTGCTGTTTTCTTTTCCTGGATCCTCTGGAAGCTTCAGTTCTTATTTTTCTCCTAGTTCTTGAATTTCTAATTTGTCTTTTCTTATGTCTGTTTCATACCTCTGTCTCTTCACAGATCGGGAGAACCAGTCCATCCTGATCACGTAGGTACCCCCCCTGCGCGGGTCCCTGCGGGGCTGCCCGGTGCCAGGGCCCCTTCTGCCTGATCATGCACCCTCTGCTGCTTCTCTCTTGGCTTTGGCAGCGGAGAATCCGGGGCCGGGAAGACTGTGAACACCAAGCGTGTCATCCAGTACTTTGCAACAATTGCAGCCAGTGGAGAGAAGAAGAAGGAAGAACATGCGTCAGGCAAAATGCAGGTAAATTAGTTGATACATGGTGGGATCAATGCTTTTCTTTGTTCCTGACATGATTTTTGGAAAGGATAACTAGCACTGATTATCACCCTGCAGGGAACGCTTGAGGATCAAATCATCAGCGCCAACCCCCTGCTGGAGGCCTTTGGAAATGCCAAGACCGTGAGGAACGACAACTCCTCACGCTTTGTGAGTTATTAATTGGTACAACTGTCAACACCAATTTGGATATTCTTGCTATCCAGACTGGTAAAATAAATCTCAATTGACTTTCCTGCTCTTTTCAGGGTAAATTCATCAGAATCCATTTTGGTGCCACAGGCAAACTGGCTTCTGCTGATATTGAAACATGTAAGACACCCTTCTGGCCTGATCCCCCTTCCCTCCAGCCTTCCCCACTTCTTGTGCTTGACCGTGTCCTACCTTCCTTGCCAGATCTGCTGGAGAAGTCCAGAGTCACTTTCCAGCTCAAGGCGGAAAGGAGCTACCACATCTTTTATCAGATCATGTCCAACAAGAAGCCAGAGCTAATTGGTAGGAAAGATCACTAACTTTTTTTGAAGGAAGATCACTGAGCAATAGTTAATTGTGTTATCTGGAAACTAAATTAAACTTGTTTTTCTCCTTCTGTTGCTTTCAGACATGCTTCTCATTACCACCAATCCTTATGATTTCCACTTTGTGAGTCAAGGTGAGATCACAGTCCCCAGCATTGATGATCAGGAGGAGCTGATGGCCACAGATGTGAGTAACTTTACCAAATGATCATCTGGTGCACTTGAGCCCTGCTGTATGTACACTGTGTTTGTGCTGCCAGAGTGCCATTGACATCCTGGGCTTCAGTGCTGATGAGAAAACAGCCATCTACAAGCTGACAGGGGCTGTCATGCACTATGGGAACCTGAAGTTCAAGCAGAAACAGCGTGAGGAACAGGCAGAGCCTGACGGCACAGAAGGTATCAGCAGAGCCAGCAACCTTTCCAAACGAGATAGTCTTTATTACAGAAGGACTTAAACAGGTTTCAGGCTTTAAATGTGTAAATTTGTTGCTCCATGACTAATTGCTCCATGACTAAATGCTCCATTTGAGGCATTTATCTCATTTAATGATACCCGTACTTTTTACTCTGTGACTATTATAGAAGAGATCCAGTGTACATTGACAGTAAGCCAGGAGACTTGCATGTCAATTGCTGTAACTTTGCTAATCATACTTAAGGTGAAATACACCTTGCAACCTCTGCTGTAGTATGGAGCCTAACAAGACAGAAGGTTCTGCTTTTCTTCACCCTTACCTGCTGGAGAGAACTCTGACATGTGTACTTCATTAATCTCTGTCACAGTCCCATGTCACCATCTTTCTGAGTGATAAATCCTCTTGCTATATGACTAGAAAGTTTAAAGTTTCATACTGACATCTGCAAGAGGATAAAGGCAATGATGTCTCCTGAAGAATGTTTGCAGAATTTGAAGCTCAGGAACAGTTATAGACTCTGAGTCCCTGAACACAAAAAGAGAAATTAGCTTTTTAGCTATGACAGATACTGTTGTGCAACCTTGTGGAGAATACTATTAGGACAGTCCAGCACTAACTTTTAGGTATTTTTTAATATCTATTCTTCTGTCTTTTCTGGTGATAGTTGCTGACAAGGCTGCGTACCTGATGGGTCTGAACTCAGCAGACCTGCTCAAGGCCCTCTGCTACCCCCGAGTCAAGGTGGGAAATGAATATGTGACCAAGGGCCAAACTGTGCAGCAGGTAAAAAAAAATATGGTAATGTGGAGCATGCTGTGATGGTTTCCATTGATTGTCCTCTGCTGCGTATAGTAACCTCCAAAGCTTTCTTTATGCTTTAGGTGAACAATTCAGTGGGTGCCCTGGCCAAGGCAATGTTTGAGAAGATGTTCCTGTGGATGGTTGTTCGTATCAACCAACAGCTGGACACGAAGCAGCCCAGGCAGTACTTCATTGGTGTCCTGGACATTGCTGGCTTTGAGATCTTTGATGTAAGGAGCACAGCTTTCCTAGAATTTTTGTAGAACTATAATTGAGAATTTTGAAACATATTTCATCTCTCTACACTTCTTGTACGGCTTCTGGAATCATGTTTTTAATCCTGAAAAAACAACAGAATAGAAAACTAATCTTCTCATTGCTCTAAATTAAAAACCTCTTTTCTAAATATCCTGGAGAGATAGCAAAGAAAAACTACACAGGAAGGAGACTTGTACGTAAAATATAAGATACAGTGAATTAGGATTGTACAAGAACACACCTTGGTATTATTGCTGATCCTTGAAATCCTTGTATGTCTTTTTATGTCTGGCAGTACAACAGCTTTGAGCAGCTGTGCATCAACTTCACCAATGAGAAACTGCAACAGTTCTTCAACCACCACATGTTCGTGCTGGAACAGGAGGAGTACAAGAAGGAGGGAATTGAATGGACATTCATTGATTTTGGGATGGACCTGGCTGCCTGCATTGAGCTCATTGAGAAGGTATCCTTCCTGTTCAAGTTTAATAGAAATTGAGTGTTCGATGCTTGCCAAGAGAAACAAATAAGAAGCATGTGAGAATATTTTGACTTCTTCAAATATATACTCTGTGAAAGTGGCAAGCAGGTAGAAGTGGTTTTGGAGATCATTACTCAGATATGAAGGCTTTTGGTTAGAGAATTCATTGCCAAATTACAAAATGATGTGAAAAAGGTCGTGTTCTCTAAGTACTTACCAGTAAACAGGTTTTATGGAGAGAAAAGTATTTCAGATTCTCATATCTATGGTAATTTATCAGCAAAGGCATTTCCATAATTTTGAATGAAACAGCAACACTGAAAAAAGTTGAACTTTAGTGGATTTTCTCTGACTTAAAGTCACTATGGGAACAGCTTCCTTTTCTGACTTCAGCAACTTTCCAACCAAGAGATATCTCCTTTCTAATCTGTTTCTCCCTCTTGTCTGTCATAATCTCTCCCAGCCCATGGGCATCTTCTCCATCCTGGAAGAGGAGTGCATGTTCCCCAAGGCAACTGACACCTCTTTCAAGAACAAGCTCTATGACCAGCACCTGGGCAAGTCCAGCAATTTCCAGAAGCCCAAGCCTGCCAAAGGCAAGGCTGAGGCCCACTTCTCCCTGGTGCACTATGCTGGCACAGTGGACTACAACATCTCTGGGTGGCTGGAGAAGAACAAGGACCCTCTGAATGAAACTGTCATTGGGCTGTACCAGAAATCATCTGTGAAGACCCTGGCTTTACTCTTTGCCAACTATGGTGGAGCAGATGCAGGTCAGTTTTATGAAAATTGTATTTTTAATGTGGGAGACCTGTCAAAGAATTAAAGCCATAAACACTAAATATTTAAAGTTGTTTCATGATAATTTTAAAATGTTGTTTTTCTTTATTCAATTTGCAGAGGCTGGTGGTGGCAAGAAGGGAGGCAAGAAGAAGGGTTCTTCTTTCCAGACTGTCTCAGCTCTTTTCCGGGTATAGTACTGTATCTGTTATCTATGAAACGTGCAGAAAGGGGGTGAGCTAATATTAAATTTGAAGGAACTACTATAAAGGGGGTAAATTTCTTTGGGAATTCTACATCAGGTTTTCCACAGTCAATTTTAACTTTGCAAATATGTTCAAAAATAAGCATTGATTCTTCAAAATTGTGGCAAACAAATTTGTAGTGGTTTTCTTTCTTAATTTTTTTTTATTTGCAGATATCATTCAGATACTCATATTTTTATGTCTTTGGGTCAAACTAGAATGGTAATACTAGTATTCCTGCATTTCTGTTGAGGAGTTGAAAATAATTATCAAGGAGATAGATATCTCATTGTAAAAAATTCCTATTTCTTAAACTAAAGTAGATTGAGTTCTAAAGGCAGAATGTGAGAAATCTAAGTAGTTTATTTTTTGTGAACGTGTGAACTTATATATAAGTTTTCACCGAACCAATAACAGCACTGTTGTATTTCACTCTGGTGAAATATCTTCAGTGTATCTTCAAATAGTATCTTCAAATAGAAGAAAGTTTTTGGTTTCTGTGGCTTTATTGAAATGCTGAAAACCCAGCTTGAGAAGTTTGTAAAATCATTACCTTGGTGCATCAAACACTCGATACACGGAAACTCACACTGGCAACTGGTTCCTCTAGGAGAATCTCAACAAGCTGATGACCAATCTGCGAAGCACTCACCCCCACTTTGTGCGCTGCATCATTCCCAATGAGACTAAAACACCCGGTAAGAAGCCCAGCATGAAATATCCTTGCTCTGATACATCCATTTCCCTCTGCAATGCAATCTGTGCCCCTCATTTGTGCTCTGTATTGCCAGGTGCCATGGAGCACGAGCTGGTGCTGCACCAGCTGCGCTGTAACGGCGTGCTGGAAGGGATCAGGATCTGCAGGAAAGGGTTCCCCAGCAGAGTCCTCTATGCTGACTTCAAACAGAGGTCAGAGCTCTGCTCTTGTCAGCATCATTAAAGGCCGTGTTGGTTCATTCATGGGTCCATTTAGGCTGTGTTTTCAAAACCAGTTGATGGGGTTTAGAGGCTACTGTGTGTTGCTTGGAAAAAAATAGCCTGATCTTCTTTTGATTCCACAGATACAAGGTGCTTAATGCCAGTGCCATCCCTGAGGGACAGTTCATCGATAGCAAGAAGGCTTCTGAGAAGCTCCTTGGGTCAATCGATGTGGATCACACCCAGTACAAATTTGGACACACCAAGGTACAAACTCCCCCATTCACTGCCTGCCTGGGCTTTGCTCTCTCCATCTGACAGTGATGTGCTGCAATATTCCCTCTCTCAAGGTGTTCTTCAAAGCTGGGCTGCTGGGGCTCCTGGAGGAGATGAGGGATGAGAAGCTGGCACAGCTCATCACCCGCACCCAGGCCAGGTGCAGGGGCTTCCTGATGAGGGTGGAGTACCAGAGGATGGTGGAGCGCAGGTACACCTTCCGCTTCTTCACTTGAAGTGTCATTCTGCTTGGGGGCGAAGTATTGACACTCATCAGACTGAGAATATTCATTGTACATTTTAATTATACCTCAGGGAATCCATCTTCTGCATCCAGTACAACATTCGTGCATTCATGAATGTCAAACACTGGCCATGGATGAAGCTGTTCTTCAAGATCAAGCCCTTGCTGAAGAGTGCAGAGTCTGAGAAGGAGATGGCCAACATGAAACAGGAGTTTGAGAAAACCAAGGAAGAGCTTGCAAAGTCTGAGGCAAAGCGGAAGGAGCTGGAAGAGAAAATGGTGAAACTCGTGCAGGAAAAAAATGACCTGCAGCTCCAAGTACAGGCTGTGAGTTTATTACCTTTATTTTATCACTCAGAAAATAAGTCTATACATTCAGATTGTTCTTTACGAACAGAAGATCAGACTATAGAAGACCAAAAGTAATAAATTTGGGAAATTATATTATATGTATATGAAGTTGAGGAAACAAATTCTGGCAGTGATGTGGTAAGCACTCTGACAGCCAGTGCAAAGATACAAAGTTTCAACTGGGAGTCAGTGCTCTTGTCTTCAGAGGAAGGAGGCAAATGTAGATCCTTGACATGAAGTAGAACAATTAATTAATTTTGTGGCAAAATGCAAAACACACTTGAAAGTTGTACTTGTGGATCCAGGTGTAGGAAAAGCCATCCTCTCTTTGCTTGAAAAATACCACTTAAAGTCCTTCTGTTGCTGGAGTTGAAGGTCAGGTTCAGGTGCTACTGAGTGATAAAAGAGTCGGAGCAGAACAAATTCAAAACATTAGAATCCACAAAATTTTGTCTCTCCACCAGGAAGCAGATAGCTTGGCTGATGCTGAGGAAAGATGTGACCAGCTCATCAAAAACAAAATCCAGCTGGAAGCCAAAATTAAGGAGGTGACTGAAAGGGCAGAGGATGAAGAGGAAATCAATGCTGATCTGACAGCTAAGAAGAGGAAGCTGGAGGATGAATGTTCAGAGCTGAAGAAAGATATTGATGACCTTGAGCTAACACTGGCCAAGGTGGAGAAGGAAAAACATGCCACTGAAAACAAGGTATGAGGTAGAGCATGTCACTCGCACTCTGGAAAAATTTGTCTTGTTAGAAAATTTTAAGCGCTATTTTCTGTCTGTGCTTGCTCCCTTCTTCTCAAAGGTGAAAAACCTGACTGAGGAGATGGCAGCCCTGGATGAGACAATTGTGAAGCTGACAAAAGAGAAGAAAGCCCTCCAAGAGGCACATCAGCAGACCCTGGATGACCTGCAGGCAGAGGAAGACAAAGTCAATACTCTGACCAAAGCCAA